GTGAAACTATTCCACATTGTTTTAACTAAAGGCCAAACTCATAACTCAAATATTTTACTTCTGCGATCATATCATAGAAACTTTTATTTTGTTACGATGATTCTCCACTTCACTCTGAAATTCTTTGAACTTTTCAAATGTTTCAGACTTGTGTTTCATCAAGTAGATATACCCATATCTGCTCAAATCATCTGTGAAGGTCGGAAAATAACGATACCCGCTGCGAGCCTCAACACTCATTGGACTGCATACATCAGTATGTATTATTTCCAATCAAGTTTGTTGCTCGCTCCATTGTTCCGGAGAACAGAGTCTTAGTCATCTTGCCCATGAGGCATGGTTTGCAAGCATCAACTGATTCATAATCAAGTGATTCCAAAAGCCCATCAGCATGGATTTTCTTCATGCGCTTTACACCAATATGACCTAAACGGCAGTGCCACAAATAAGTTGCACTATCATTATTAACTTTGCATCTTTTGGCTTCAATATTATGAAAATGTGTATCACCATGATCGAGATCCAACAAACCATTTTCATTGGGTGTATGATCATAGAAGGTTTTATTCATGTAAACAGAACAACAATTATTCTCTAATTTACATGAATAACCGTATTGCAATAAACATGATCCAATCATATTTATGCTCAACGCAAACACCAAATAACATTTATTTAGGTTCAACACTAATCCCGAAAGTATAGGGAGTGTGCGATGATGATCATATCAATCTTGGAACCACTTCCTTGCTCTAGTTCTATCCTCAGGATTTACTTACCTGAGTACCTAGCACCGAGGATCGATGTAATTTACTTTCAAAAAGATGCGAAAGGTGTCAGCAGGTGCGCGGAGCCGGAGCCGGCATGTTCGCCCGCTGGGCCGAGTGTTCGCCCACTTCTTTTTCTTCGCCTTTAGAGAGAAATCCGTGTCCGCCCCAGCAAGAAAACATATGCGCGTGTCGTCTCAGACCAGATACATCTATGGAAAGAAAGGATTTCATAGAAAATCTGCATTTTTCTATTTTTTTATCCCCATGCATTCCGTTCTTTCCGGAATTGGAAGTATTCGTCGCCCTACCCTAAGAAAGAAGTCACTATAAAACAGCTTGCCCTCCAGAAGTACCAAAGGTGCGCGGAGCCCGGTATCAGGCCTAGCAGCTGCTTCATAATATAGGTGAGATAGATTAATTGAACACACATCGTCACTTCACCCTTAACTAGTCTCTGTTTATTTTGCAACTCCCATTTCGAGTTACTACTCTTAGCAACTGAACCAGTATCAAATACCGAGGGGTTGCTATAAACACTAGTAAAGTACACATCAATAACATGTATATCAAATATAGCTTTGTTCACTTTGCCATCCTTCTTATCCACCAAATACTTGTGGTAGTTCCGCTTCTAGTGACCAGTTCATTTGTAGTAGAAGCACTTAGTCTCAAGCTTAGGTCCAGACTTGGGTTTCTTCACTTCAGCAGCAACTTGCTTGCCGTTCTTCTTGAAGTTCCCTTTCTTTCCCTTTGCCCTTTTCTTGAAACTAGTGATCTTGTTAATCATCAACACTTGATGCTCTTTCTTGATTTCTACCTTCATCGATTTCATCATCATGAAAATCTCGGGAATCGTTTTCATCATCCCTTGCATACTATAGTTCATCACGAAGTTCTACTAACTTGGTGATGGTGACTAGAGAATTCTGTCAATCACTATTTTATCTGGAAGATTAACTCCCACTTGATTCAAGCGATTGTAGTACCCAGACAATCTGAACACATGCTCACTTCTTGAGCTATTCTCCTCCATCTTTTAGCTATAGAACTTGTTGGAGACTTCATATCTCTCAACTCGGGTATTTGCTTGAAATATTAACTTCAACTCCTAGAACATCCATATGATCCATGATGTTCAAAGCGTCTTTGAAGTCTCGATTCTAAGCTGTTAAGCATGGTGCACTAAACTATCAAATAGTCATCATATTGAGCTAGCCAAACGTTCATGACGTCTGCATCTGCTCCTGCAATAGGTCTGTCACCTAGCGGTGCATTAAGGACATAATTCTTCTGTGCAGCAATGAGGATAAACCTCAGATCACGGATCCAATCCGCATCATTGCTACTAACATCTTTCAACTTAGTTTTCTCTAGGAACATATCAAAAATAAAACAGGGGAGCTAAACACGACCTATTGATCTACAACATAGATATGCTAATACTACCAGGACTAAGTTCATGATAAATTTAAGTTCAATTAATCATATTACTTAAGAACTCCCACTTAGAAAGACATCCCTCTAATCTTCTAAGTGATCACGTGATCCAAATCAACTAAACCATAACCGATCATCACCTGAAATGGAGTAGTTTTCAATGGTGAACATCACTATGTTGATCATATCTACTATATGATTCACGCTCGACCTTTCAGTCTCAGTGTTCCGAGGCCATATCTGCATATGCTAGGCTCGTCAAGTTTAACCTGAGTATTCTGCGTGTGCAAAATTGGCTTGCACCCATTGTAGATGGACGTAGAGCTTATCACACCCGATCATCACGTGGTGTCTGGGCACGACGAACTTTGGCAACGGTGCATACTCAGGGAGAACACTTTTATCTTGAAATTTAGTGAGAGATCATCTTATAATGCTACCGTCAATTAAAGCAAGATAAGATGCATAAAAGATAAACATCACATGCAATCAAAATATATGTGACATGATATGGCCATCATCATCTTGTGCCTTTGATCTCCATCTCCAAAATATCGTCATGATTTCCATCATCACCGGCATGACACCATGATCTTCATCATCTTGATCTATATCAATGTGTCGTCACATGGTCGTCTCGTCAACTATTGCTCTTGCAACTATTGCTATCGCATAGCGATAAAGTAAAGCAATTATTTGGTGCTTGCATCTTATGCAATAAAGAGACAACCATAAGGCTTCTGCCAGTTGTTGATAACTTCAACAAAACATGATCATCTTATACAACAACTTATATCTCATCACGTCTTGACCATATCACATCACAACATGCCCTGCAAAAACAAGTTAGACGTCCTCTACTTAGTTGTTGCAAGTTTTACGCGGCTGCCACACGCTGTGCAAGAACCGTTCTTACCTACGCATCAAAACCACAACGATAGTTTGTCAAGTTGGTGCTGTTTTAACCTTCTCAAGGATCGGGCGTAGCCACACTCGGTTCAACTAAAGTTGGAGAAACTGACACCCGCTAGTCACCTGTGTGCATAGCACGGCGGTAAAACCAGTCTCGCTTGTGTCGGTCCGGGCCGCTTCATCCAACAATACCGCCGAACCAAAGTATGACATGCTGGTAAGCAGTATGACTTATATCGCCCACAACTCACTTGTGTTCTACTCGTGCACAACATCAACACATAAAACCTAGGCTCTGATACCACTGTTGGGGAACGTAGTAATTTCAAAAAAATTCCTACACACACGCAAGATCATGGTGATGCATAGCAACGAGAGGGGAGAGTGTTGTCTACGTACCCTCATAGACCGGAAGCGGAAGCATTAGCACAACGCGGTTGATGTAGTCGTACGTTTTCACGACCCGACCGATCAAGCACCGAAACTACGGCACCTCCGAGTTCTAGCACACGTTCAGCTCGATGACGATCCTCGGACTCCGATCCAGCAGAATGTCGGGGAAGAGTTCCGTCAGCACGACGGCGTGGTGACGATCTTGATGTTCTACCATCGCAAGGCTTCGCCTAAGCACTGCTACAATATTATCGAGGATTATGGTGGAAAGGGGCACCGCACACGGCTAAGAGATCAATAATCAATTGTTGTGTCTTTGGGGTGCCCCATGCACCCGTATATAAAGGAGCAAGGGAGGAGGAGGCCGGCCTAAGAGGGGGCGCGCCAAGTGTGGAGTCCTACTAGGACTCCCTAGTCCTAGTAGGATTCCACCTCCCATATGGAATAGGAAAAGAGGAAGGGAAAAGGAGAAGGAAGGAAGGGGGCGCCCCCCTTCCCTAGTCCAATTCGGACTAGACCAAGGGGAGGGGTGCGGCCACCCTTGAGGCCTTTTCCTTCTTTCCCGTATGGCCTAATAAGGCCCAATACATATTCCCGTAACTCTCCGGTACTCTGAAAAATACCCGAATCACTCGGAACCTTTCCGATGTCCGAATATAGTCGTCCAATATGTCGATCTTTACGTCTCGACCATTTCGAGACTCCTAGTCATGTCCCCGATCTCATCCAGGACTCCGAACTCCTTCGGTACATCAAAACTCATAAACTCATAATATAACTATCATCGAAACCTTAAGCGTGCGGACCCTATGGGTTCGAGAACAATGTAGACATGACCGAGACACGTCTCCGGTCAATAACCAATAGCGGAACCTAGATGCTCATATTGGCTCCCACATATTCTACAAAGATCTTTATCGGTCAGACCGCATAACAACATACGTTGTTCCCTTTGTCATCGGTATGTTACTTGCCCGAGATTCGATCGTCGGTATCTCAATACCTAGTTCAATCCCAACAATTCTGGCCTTGGCCTGGCGCGAGTAAGAGTGGCGAGGCAGGGGCGAGTGGCGCGTCCGCACAGGCAGCGTCGTGGTTGCCTTCTCCTCCGTTATTCTAACCAGTGACGCGGGGCCTATTGGTTTTGCTTCAATAATGGAGGCAGTCCTAGGTTTCTTCTAGCACCAAGATGGTGTTCTACTTGATGCCGACCCTCATTGATCTGGCCGTTGACGAGTTCCGGAAGGCTCCGCAAGAGATCTCCTTTGGGTGCTTGACGCCTGTAGATTGCTGGATCGAATGGAATTCGGTCGTGTGCGCCCATAATTCAGCCCATGTTGCTTCTGGAAGGCATGACGTGAAGCTTCGTTGTCTATTGACATTATGTGACATGTCGGTATTTCAATTTTCATGGTGAAGATAGTGGCGGAGAAGGTCATGGTGGCTAAGGTCTGAGGCCTAATACTGGCGGATCTAGTCTTCCAGACGATGAGGAGTTTGCTTGGTGTAGCAGCGACATCGGCAAGTGGGGGCGACAACACAGGAGGAGTACAGAGTCTTAGCTTTCAGGGTGAAAACCCAAGTTCTGGCCTTAATTGGTTGTGCCTGACAGTGGACTTGTTGAAGGCATTGTTTTTTAGAGCACGAATTTTCTCCATGGTGAAAATCTAAAATCTATAATCGGGCGACGACGGCGTTTGTGCATTGTTTTCTTTTTGGAGGGGTCGCTTGTGGAATAATTTAGACTTTGTGTGTTGTCTTCATGGTGGTTCGTCCTGCAGTTACAAGAAATTGATCATTATTGTGGTTCGTCCTGCAGTTGCATGCATCCCTAATGTCTTTAGGACATTTCGTTGTTGTAGAGATTGAGTGTAATTGATATCTTCTCGATATTTATATCTTCTCTTTGTCAATAAATAAATAAATTATTCTAGGTACATAATACCTACGGTGAACAAGGATAACCTACTATACCAAAAGGCGAGGGTCCTCGTTTGAACGATAGTTACTGATAAAAGCCTGCATGAGTAGATTTTTGAAGCACGTAATACATGCTTCTCCAAACAAGTACTCACTACCAGACGATGAAGTTTGGACTTGTATGTCATAACTAGACCATGAACACGTGCATACTGCGCCCGTTCACCTTGTAGATAAAAAGTTCGATTTATTAAAGATAATCAGAACAGTAGAAACATTTGATACGCCCAAGGGCAAATTTCTCAACTAGATTGTTTGTGAGATATATAGAGGAAAGTCGTACGCCTGAAGCAAGGTAAGCAGCTACTATGGCCAGCACGCGTTCGTCAAAGGTCTTCGACACCAAAGAACATGAAGGTGTGGGCTGCCGTGCTCATTTGTGCGGAACGAACTACGTAAATATATAAGTATTTAAGAAAAAAAGTAACATTTGATACGGTTCGAAAAGCTGTAATTGTTACTGTACATGTCATCATCTTCATATAAGAAGATAAGGTGCAAGAATAATGAACAACGCAAACTATTTCTCAACTAGGTGATCAAATTCAACTAATCACAATTGCAACTAGTCCATTTGGATACATGGTAGATTCGGTCTTCTCAAAACTGTTACGTGCAAATTAAGAACTAGGTACTCCCTCCGATCCTTTTTATTCTGCATATTAGGTTTGTCTGAAGTCAATTTCATCCAACTTTGACCAAGTTTATACATAAAATTATTAACATTCACATAACAACACATTTATTATTAGATCCATCTCAGAATATATTTTTATATTATATTTATTAGATGTTATAGATGTTAATATTTTCTAATATAAATTTGGTCAAACTTAGCAAACTTTGACTTCAGTCAAAGCTAATGTGCGGACTAAAAAGGACTGGAGGGAGTAGTAAATTGAATACACAAATTAGGAGATAAATTGAAAACTTGCAGGTTTAATCTTTTCGATATGCGAGATGCTATTTGTTCACCACTTCAAACACGACTAGCTTTATTACAAAATCTCGTCAAATCTACCAGCTTCCGTCGTAGTCTAGGTGGTTAGGATACTCGGCTCTCACCCGAGAGACCCGGGTTCAAGTCCCGGCGACGGAATTTTTTCCCTTTTTTTTGCGCTCCAAAGCCAGATTAACCAAAATTACTAAACCACCCTCCATTCCACCCCTGCACACGGGGGCACGGACGTAATTCTACGCATATAAGCACCCTCCGCGCTAGGGTTTCCTCCTCTCCCTCCCTACAAAGCCGCTGCCGCCGCCGCCCCGCACCACGCTTTAAACCCCTCCCCCCCTCCCCCTCTCCTCCCCCCCGCCGCC